CTCGTTAATTTCGCTGGTCGCTGTTATTTGCACCCACACGTATTCACCCTGGTCTCATTCTTCCGTTCCGAGTGCTCGCGGCGAATCGGTTAATTTACAAGTCTAATTCGGCCGACTGCAGTTGCGCGCGTCTAATTGCGCGCCGTCGCTCTATTACTTCGCGCGGCTTTCGTTAGTATCGAAGCATTCCGTCGTCAGCATTCGCCTCTAATTAGCGGGGTGACGGACACGTTACGCTTGAGTTTGCCGCCGAAATCGCCGTCCGGTCCGATCGCGCGGAAGGCTGCACGAAGGGCGAGCGGAGCGGCAGAAAGGGAGGGGGAGGGGGCGAACGAGGAAGATCAAAGGGTACGGTGTCGGGCAAGGACGCGTTGCCGGCGACGTCTCGATGCGCACTGACTAGCGACTTTTTCAATCAAATTTGCGGCACGGCGCGATTCCGATTCCTTTCTGATTCGATTTCGCCGAGTTTAAAACGGCCGCTTATAGAGCATTAAGCGATCCTCAAAGTGGGAACGGGAAATCTAGTTACGGCTGCGCGAGCTGGCCTCTTTGATCCTGCCGATTTGCCCCCTCCCCTCCCCTGGCCCACGCTCATTCTTTGCTCCCGCCGACCCCCATTCTCCCTTTCCTCCCTGCCCCTCGACGATCCCTTCCTCTCGTTAGGGATATTGCCAATCGAGAAAGAATTCCCTTCTGGACTTTGCGGACCTCCGAGATTCCGTGAAAATTTCATCCGCTTTTTATCCTCTTCGTCCCGCTTCCGTGAATCGCACCTCTTTCCCTCTTCCGGCGTCTCTCTTTCTTCCTCGTTCTTTCTCTCTCACTCACTCTCTTCCTCTCTTTCTTCCTTCCTGTCTTCCTACTAGTTTTTATGTATTTCGTCCTTTCCCGCGGCATAAATTAATCTCCGTATGGCGACCGCCGTTAATTTTCCGCCCGGAAATATATAAGTCGCGGAATAATCGCGCCCGCAGCGCGGCGCGATTTAATTATTTAATCGCCGGCCGAATTATCAAGCCGCTGGCACTGCGACGTTTTATTATTTATACTATTTGCCCGCGCGGAAATTGTTCGCGCGATCGGGCGAAATATTAGAAATTCGCGACGCGCCGAGTTTAGTGACGATTTAGCGCGGTGACTTTTCGCGCGAGCGCGTTCATAATTTATGACTTACTCTTCGTGCGTCAAGCCATCGCACCCCCGTCGTTGTGCCGAACGAGTGGGACACAGGTGAAAAATGTGATGCACGTAAACACACTCGGATACAAACTGCCCCTTTCTGCGAAACTCATTTTCACCTGTGACCCAGCACACGGGGCGCGAGGAAAAACATAAAATATAGGTTAAACGAATGTCGAAGATATATTGCACCCTCCACTCCAGTATAAATTGTGTTTTATAATAAATCTCTTTATGACACGCTTTAAATACGTGGAAGCGTCCGATATCTTGTAGGATATATGAATACTAAATAAATAAAACAATTATTTGTTTTTTTTTACGCTTCTCTCAGGAGCGATGAATTTACGGTGCGCGCGGAAGCGAGACGGTTGAAAAATTCATTTCTGAATTCGTCCTTAGGAAATCTCGTATTCAATCTGACGGCTATTCATATTAAACAGGAAAGGACCGAAATAAATCCTTTTTAATTATTCAGTTGACAATTCACATGTTCCACCGCGCGACTTGAATTCGTCGGCGCAAGGCTCAGAAATCAAGCCACCTCATCTCACGCACGCACACACGCAGAAGAGAAAAACTCGGCTCTAATTTCGGCTTGCATTGCTGAGCGTCTTCTTTGAGGAAAATTTTACGGAAAATCTAGTTCACATTGCACATACTGTGGAAATATATCTCAAAAAAGGACGAGATATAACTTCGATAATCGATCTTCTATCAAGAAGTTTTTTTTCTCAGTTATCTCAACAAGTTTTAACGCAGCCAAATGTTTCCACACGAATGTTTTTCGGTTGCGATAACACTTCTTGTCACAAAATTTTCGTCTGAGAATTCCTGATAAGATCTTCCCTATCTGTTACATAAACTAAGGTTTTTTCCATGGACACACTTATGGACACACATAGAAAAATACGTGCTGTATCTAAGTAAATGTTACTTGTTTTAAATATTTTATAAGTTTATATATCCGCAAATTTATCATAAGCTCATCATAAGCATCAAGTTTGTTCAAGATACATCCTGAATTCTAGTAGGTTTAATATTTGAGTCAGGAATATGAAATTGAAAACAAAATTCGGTTTGTTCGCCTTACATAGAGTCAAAAATCAACTTCCTTTGATAAAATTTTATGACATTCTTGTAAAGAAAATTAATTCTTCTTCTGAGTATATTTATAATGAGCTTTGCTAAAACCTATTATGAATATGCTTGAGGACTGTCAAGAAAATATTCTTTGTTGCAAATAACTATTACTTAAAAGAAAGAAAGTAAACTGAGTAATCGCTTTCCTTAGCAGTAGAATAGTATTTTTCTCTATGCAGAAAGGTTGTCTGTAACTTTTCAAAAGAACTCATTTTTCACTGGGAGAATTCTTCGATTGGACAAGACAGACGAGAGTTCACAAACTTACCCTAAAAATTGCAGACGACCTTTCTGTCCCCAAGTCACCTCCACACGTTCTATGATTTTTCTCGTTCTCGAGGATCCTTCTTGTCGCACTTTGTCTATCACACGGGGCTGTCAGGAGTCCCAGTAGCCGAACTGATCCCGTATTGCCCATTGGCAAACGTACGACTGGCCGGTCTTTCCGCGAAGACAGGTCACTGGTGCCCTCCACATCGGCGTCAGTCGGGACGAAGTTTCGGGTAGATGTGGTGAGAGGGCATAATGCAAGTATTAAGCCGCTATAGTCGGGAGCGGAGGCTGCAGGAAAAGGGGTAAGAGAACCGTTTGCGAGGATATAGGTAGGTAAGTCGGGGCTTAGCCCGGTGACACAGTGAGCGGAACCGAGGCATGAAGCTTACCGCCGGCTCCCGAGTTGTTATAATGGGATCCGGCTAAACGCAAGCCGATTTTAACTCTTCGCCGCGACACTCGGCCAAGTTCAAGGCCATTGTCTTCGCCGCAAGGAGGAATAAAGCGGTCGCCGACTGTACGCGCTTACGCGTCGGTCTCCCTCGCACCGCAGTCGCCGATCCTTGCAACGATCCTTGCCGCCGTTGATCGGGTCAGGCGGCTCCGGCACCCAACGCATCTATGTGTAGAAAGTATCATCGTGATCACTCCTTTCTTCTTTTACACCGGTCTTTGATCTTGCGGCGATCTCGAAGTGCCGTGCATTGTTGTGCATTGAGAACAGCAGCCCGATCTGTTTGCGGTAGTGTGTACTTTTCTTATTTCCTGCCGTTTGAGCGATTGTTAACAAGCGTGAAATATTCCAGGAAACTTTCGACACGCATCTTTCTCATGCCGCGTTTCACATTCGTTGCTTGTCACTTATATATTAATAAGTCGTTTTCGAGGAACAAGAACTGCCATTGTTCGCAATAACGTTTATTGTCCTTTGATTCGCTCGCAGAGATTGCCCCATTGTCTCATTTCCTTCATAACATCATTTTTCATTATGACGTAAAGTGCGACTCATTTGTTGGCCATTGATGCAAATATAGCGCGCAGGCTAATACTTCTGTGTTGGTCTTTCGCGGGACCAGTCCACTCTCTTTAAAGAGAGAAAGTCGCGGAGGATTTGCGCCCCGATCATACGTGTAGGCTCATCAAAGGCCAAGCGGGCGCGGGCAACGGCCGATTAGTTATAGCTCGTTAATTTGATGAGTTAGAAAGGATGCCGGATTACGCCATCAAAAGGTAGACAGGTACGCGATCTGTCCAATTAGTCCGACACAGAGAGCGGCCCTGGGAGGTGTAGGGCGGCTCCTCTGTGTGCCTGCCGTGGGGGACCTTTGTTACGACGTTTAAGACCACTTAGGTATACGCCACTGACGTTTCTCCCTCACCCCTCTCCGCACACTCCCGAACTCAAGCTCTTCGTACGATTGTTTTCGTGCGCGCACGTATTCGCACCACCTGTGATCTTCTAATGGACCATCCTGTCTAATACGAGAGATGATTTTGGTCGATCTAGATTATGATCAACGTTACACACCGACATTCCCATTTATAAAAATACGCTTATGCGCGCACGCGAGCGCGCGCGCGCGTCAGCGTGGAGAGCTCGTTAGCGCGTCCGTGAGTTCTTTAATCGCGAGGTCTGCGCGTTTATTGCACGCCGTTAAATAATTAAATTAATTGTCCAACGGACGCGCGTACTCGCTCCTTGGAGATTCGCCGCGGCTATCTCGGATCTCGCGATGTTTTTAGAAATTAAGTAAACGAAGGTAATCGCCATTCCGGGATGCATGCGCGCGCTTCACGCGACAGAAAAATTAGACGCTGGGGAGAACACGGACGGCGGCGACGGCTAACGACGTTGCATCGAGATTATGGCGACCGCGAGTTTGTAATTAATACACGCTTAATGGTTCGAGATCGATATGCACGCGGCCACTCAAATAACGAAACGCGGTCGCTTTGACGTTAATTAATTTCAAGTGCATTAACAGAATTGCTGCCCGCGGCATAGGGTCTTGCGAACATCAATGTGATTAATAAGAACCACGCTCGCGATCTATAAAGCTGCCAGGCCGAAATGGCGAGAGAGAGAGAGAGAGAAAAGCAGAATGCGTGCGTGTTGTGTATATGTTTGTTTGGGTGCGTTACATGTATATGAAAGTGAGAGAGTGAGAAAGAGTGAGTGAGTGAGAGAAAGAGAGAGACACGCGTATTGCGTGTTGGGAATTCTGTCGCAGGCAGCTACTGTACAAAACATAATCCGCATATCGCGGAACACGTACGCGAAGCGATAAAATTTCGACTCGAAACGAGCGCACAATGTTACGGATATCTTCCAGAACGGACGAAGGACACCGCGAGGCGAGATGAGGACAGGGAGAAATGACTGAGAGACAGCTTATTAATAATATGCGATATTTTATTATCCCGATGTAGGAAGATTCTCTTCGCATATAATAGAACAATCATATATTTTACAAGAGATATACGTTATGTACACATTCGCGTCGTATTATTACAAAGTAGCTTAGGTCTAGGAGCTTACATAATATCCATTACGGCTTTATGATCTATCGATCTCTGTCTATTGTTAATCTTAGTGATATCCTTTTTCTTTATTATCCTTTAATAATCGCATAAACTCTAAGCTTCACGATAATAATATACATTAGATAGTATACACGAAATATACACTCACGATTAAAGTAGGCATTTCTTCACGTATCTTTTTTTTCTTTTCTCAGACACATTTACGTTAATTAAGTTAATTACGCGAAGGAAAACGAAGCCTCTCTCTCTCTTTCTCTCTCACACACACACACACACACACACACACACACATTCATACACACACATACACACACATTCATACACACACATACACACACACGCACGCATGCACACACACACACACACACTTGCGAACGAAGCAAATAGTGCTATAGAAACAAACGACTATGAAAGAATATACAACTATACAAAGGCCTCACAACGAGGCCGACTCTCACTTCACGTTGTATTCGGGAGTGTCGTATTATGAAGCGAGATTCTTTCATGCCTTCCCCCCGTTCACGTACGACCGTGACTTTTTCGTCTTTATTTACAAGAATCTTCCGGCTACTGACCGTACTTGATATGGATAATTATGAATACAATATTAATCGTAATAATAAAGACTTTGACGATAATACTAATGATAATGGCGGCAGTGATGAGTACGTCCGTTCACGACGATGAAGTCTGATTGGATCAACGTGATGACGATGAACGAAACGCGTTTTGTTTGGAGGAAACGGAATGTCTGGTTCTTTGAATTGAACTTGATTCATAAGAACCAAAAATTCGGTTGTCCTCAACTACAACGGCTCGTTCATTCTTCATGTTTATTCAATCAGTCTTTGTTTCTCTCCGTGTGTTTAAAATCTTAAAAATACAAAATATACCAACTAGATCCTAAAAGAAATCGCGATGTATGATACGCACGATTAACACGAATGCCGCCGCATAAATTTCGTATGAGAGATTTAAGATAATTTTCATAAATACGTTTCCTTTAGTTTCGCATATGCGAGGATAGATTTAATTACTCCGTAACTGTACTTCTCTTCGCGAAAGTTCAAAAGAAAATTTAGATTCTTATTGCCATTCTTGTTTGCGTTTTGAGGTTATCTCCAAAAGGGACATATTTGACATGTAAAAATAAAATTTCTCCGGTAAAATAACATCGTTCACCATTGAGAAACACATGATTAACGATACTCACGATATCGACACCAACATACTCTCGATTTAGCAAATATACAGAAGAAATAGTATCCGAAAGTTCGAAACCCAAAAACACTTGGTGTGCCGGAAATACACACACAAACAATCGCATTAAAATATAAAATTAAATAAAATATACATTTTATATATATTGCACTAATTGCGTTGAAATATTTTATAGATTTAGAATGAAAGTTAACATTTTTGGGAATTTGTGTTTTTAATTCGAATTAGACAGACCAAGTGTTTGGATCTCAAGCCTTCAGACATTATTTATTTTGTAGGAAATACAAGTTTAAACAACTATATTTTATTTTCATTTTTTCATTTTATTCAATTGATTGACGAACATGCTCAATTCAGCAAATATTACTTTTCCATAATTGCCGATTAGTAATCTTATAGATTGTCTATATTAGAGTTCTGATAGTGTTCTGATAGAGTTCAGCGAATCACGTCCGAATATCTTGTTTGTAATGATGCAAGCGCGAAGCTGAATGTGTTAACGTGAGACGTGAATACTTTGTTTCTAAATGAAATGAATATGAAATTATCGTGGATTAGGCGACCCGATGGGTGTGGGTACTCGTCTTCCTTGACTTTCAGCAATACATTCTTTGTTTACAACCAATTTTACAATTTACATACTTGAGTATTTGGGGAAAGCAACATAAAGTCTTCACTGATATATCATTAATTAAAACTCCTTCGAAGACTCGGAAATGATCAGTTTCGTTGCTAGATTGTAAAGAGTACTTGAATAATTCTAAAGACGAATCCATAGAGTCGTCTTGAGTATGTACAGAAATCTCGGAGAAAAAACAACATCATTGAACACTGCATCGTACTAGCGGTGACGTTTGAATTCATACTTGTATATGTTTAAAATATAAACATAAGAATAGCGCATTTTATTATTCATAAATTATAATTTACAAATCACGGAGGACGTACGATAAAACAATACGATTCTTGACCACAAATTTCGCCCGAGCTATATTGTTCATACAATTGCGCGATCCGCTGATAAACAATACGATACACCTTTTGCTAACTCACGCGTGGTGGCGCGAATTCGCATTAATTTCGCGATGCGCGTGCATGCGACGAGTAAGATAAAAGTACCAGTTCCTGGACACGTGCCCGCTCCTGGACATTCCCGTTGCTCTGGTCTTTAAATACGAATATTTAAACTTTTAGCATGGAATAATATACTTTCAGCATAGGATGTTATAATATATGCAAGAGAGTATCTTTCATCTCAAATCTGACATTCACACTCAAAAAAATGGTCTTTCAGTCATAGCGAAAGTTATCTAGATATAAGAAATTAAAGAACTAAGACAGATAAGTTACTAACAGACACTGCGATACCGTATATGTTTTGTATTTATTCAATAGGTAACAAAGATAGAATTTATATGTGAGTTATTTGCCTAATTTAGTAAGAAAATCTTCATTTATAAAGTCTATTCAAATTAAAACCAGAGTCATATTTTTTATTAAAAATTAGTAATGAGATTTAAATTTTTCTGCAGATTTTGCTAAAATGTTGCTGCTGATTCTACGTACCACAGACAGTTTTCCAGCAAAAACAAAAAATAACGATACATTTTAACGGTGATATTTAGAATTTTAGTTGGACCAGCAAAATACTTTTTTAGTGTAATGCAAAATAATACAGGAAATTTGTGTTCACTTTGATTTAATCTACATGTACTCAAGGTATAGGACGCGTTTAGTGTTAGATACACTATACTCATTTCTATACCAAAAAACACAACAACAGCTTTGTAGCTGATACACAATTGCCTTTTTTTAAGTAACATAAGATAAAATAACAAAATAAAATAAAATAAAAATGAAAAATAATATGTGAAAATATAATAGGATGTTTAATAAAGTCAGAAACTCTTATATTTCGAAAAATATAAATTTTGTAGAAAAAATGGTTTAGATAGCAGTAGTAGAATTTAATAAGATTAATTTATTGATTTTATCATTTTGACGGCGTTGAATAGCGTTGCCAAAGTCAGGTCACTTTGAATTTTTTTAAATTGAACCTTCTATTTTTTATTGTGTTCTTATAATCTTATTTAAGACTTTTACAAAAAACTATAATTTTATCTACTTTGGCTCAGCTATTTTAAAGTTATCGAGGTTTTTATGGTAAGATGACGATAACTGCAGTTTTACTCAAGATTAAATAAATAGAGATATCTATTTATACCTATATGTGGAGGAAGAGGTGGTAGATGACGCCTGGGTCCATTTGGAGCCCAAGCCAGCCCGTCGATTTTTTTAATGGAAACTCTTATTTTTTGCAGATTCGTGTTCGGGATAATTTTCTGACTATATGGATTAGATTTTGAACCCGGGATCAAATTCAGGCCTAATTAAGCCCAGATCAATTTTCTTGAGTGATAACTTCATTTTTCATCGCAGATTCGTATTAACTTTTTTCTTTTTGATAAAATACATTAGATTTTCGGCCTTTTTTATACACCCTGATGTGTATATATTCAATATAAGTATATATCTTTTACGTTAAAAATGTAAATATTCGTATTTAAAGACCACAATAATAAGTGCCGACGTAGAGGGTCCTCAGGTCTTCGGTGCTTTCACGCGATTTTCGTCGTCATCCTTTCGACGACGAAGCTCTCTTTGCCTCTGTAGCCCGTCACATCAATTGTCGTCAGAGTCCAGATTGCCGTTCATCTCGTCGCAATTCTCCGTCGCGTTCAGCCGCCAATGGTAAGACGTCGAGGAGCTCGCCACAGCCGCGGTGGCGGTCTCTTGACTTCGGTGAAAAATCCCGGAGGACCTGCCGGCGGACCGCTATGCCATCGTCGAGTATCTCTGATCGGGCAGCACGTAACCCTCGGCGTCGGCTGACGAGGCGACGATCTCGTTGCTGCCGGCCGGGTTCACATGGTGACTAGTCAGGTGCGACATGGACGAGGTCAGCGTCATGTTCGGATGGTATTGCGGGTGGTGATGATGATAGTTAGTCTGTGGACTGTGATGCATATGCGAGATCTGGGCCTGATAGTATTCGCCGCTGTAGGGTGCCTGATAGGCGTTATAATTCTGCCCGGCGTATTGGCTCGGATTCACGGACGTGGTTGTGGCGGAGGCCGGTGTCCAGGTGAAGCCAGTCGGATGGTACTCGCCGTGGTGGATCTGATTCACCGGGGTCGTGTAGGATGACGACTGCAGGCCCGAGCCTGGCGTCAACGGCGGCGACGGTGTCGTCAGGTTGCTGTTGCCCGCGCTGCCGCCGGTTGGTGTCGTTCCCATTCGCGGATACGTCGTCGACGTCGTAAGCAGCGGCGAGCTGCCGGCCGCCGGCGCTTCTCTGCCTTGCGCCGGCGAGTCTGGTGGGGATCGTCTGCTGGACGTCGTCGTTGACGTGCTAGTGGGCACCCTGTTGGTCGCATTGCTGTTGTTGCTGTGATTCTGAGTCGCCCTGGGCGAACCCTTGGATGGGGGTGGGGTCTGTTGTTGTTGCATTTGCTGTCTGCATTTCGCTCGGCGATTCTTAAACCAGACCTGCAACAGAGAAAGGGGCCGGGGGCGCCGTGAAGTTGCGAAACGATCTACGACGAGATACGACGAACGTAAAATAGAACTCGTCGCTGTTCTTGCGATAACATCGTCACGAGATGACAGTTTCTCCGAGGCGTCTCTCGCGAAAAGAATTTCAAGATACGTGAGATTTGAAAATCAATTGCACGCAAAAAAATTACTTAAAAATAACAGCTAAATTTTATTAGCTATTTCGAACTTTGCTGTTACTGCTAAAAATTAGCATTAGAAGGTAAAGTACATTTGCTGCAAAGTACGACTTTATTAGCTGAAATTAGTAGCATAGTAAAAAGCATAGTAAATAACTAAGATTAGTTAACTATGTTTTCTATCTGATTATATTACATATGGACGATACAAAACATAGTTATATCAATCGACGAAATGGTTTTGTACCTAAAGCGATTGACTCATAAAAACCAAAGGTCTCGGATCTGAGCCCCATCAGTGTTTCAAGCATGTTTTTCAAATACGATGTAGCATTAAATAAAGTCGCTTAAATTTCAGGCAAAATTAGAATATATATTGACAGTTTGTGTTAAAAAAAAGTAATAAACTTTTACTCGAGAATGTGAATATGATTTTAGTATTATTGTGCGATTTAGCTAATATTTTTCGCTGTAGCGCTTAAGTTTAAATAACGAACAAATTTAGCTTCGGTAGTAACGACATTAGCTGTCCCTATTTCAGTGATACATCTTAGCTACCACAGCTATTTCTTAGCTCTTGAAGCTAGTTCTTTTTTTGCTTTCTTTCTTATAAGCTTTCCCCTGATAGACATCGTCCGATATCTCGGCGAGCTTCCAACGAGCTATAAAAGTCTGCTGCGGGAGGCCCGATGGAAGCCGTAGCCCCAGGGACCATCAGGGAGGAAAGGTGTCCCACTGTCCCGCCGCGAGAGACGAGACCGACCGAATGGGGAGTTAATCGGTGCAATGGGAAAGTAATCGCGGGCGAGCGGGCGTAACATTTCATTAAATCGCAACAATAACAAGGACTCGAAGGGAGGGGCCGCACGGGGGACGCGTGTATGAACGCGACGTCCCGACACGCGTGTATTGGAGCATCCCCTGGGATTCTCGGTGACTACGGGGTAGTTCGTCGGCACGCATGCGCGAATCAGAGCCCATCGTATGAGCTAGGGTTGTTTTCACCCCGATGTTCGAGATCAAATAGTTGGTTCTGCCCGCGAATACGTACGTGCGTGCGTGAATACGCGCATGGCATCGTATACATGCATAAACCTTCACGTGGTGGTGCTTTACGGTTACAAACACGAGACGCACGCTCCCGCACACGCTTGCGCGCACGCACACGCACGCGGATTTTTCTCCCTGAAAAAGGGACGGCAGGGGGACAAAAAGCAACCCCTCGTAGGCCGCAAGCTCGCGAACGCGTTGTGACCGCCCCTCTCCCTACTTCGTCCCGTGTAATACTCCCCCTCACGCATCCCTCTATAATCCCAGGGCACAATGTGGCCAGGGGTGCGATCCTATGAATCTATGCCCGCGCCTTTAAAAGCGGGACCCGTCATCGTTGTTGTTATTATCGGCGGCATTGTAACAGTTGTTACGGAGAGCGCGAATCGCCGAAGCGTACGGGAGGATTTCAGGCTGCAATACCGCGCACGTTCGCCGGCCAAGGCAAAAGCCGAGGAGCCAGGCGCACAACCCTCTCGCCTTTGGTCTCGGCAATATCCGAAAGGCAGACGTTGGTCGCACTTCGAGTCGACCAAATTGCTCCAAGCGATTATTACCGAGGGAGTGTGTCGAATTATCGCGTGTTGTACACCCGAAAATAAGACCTGCAAGGTGATATTTTCCCTGTAATCCCATATTATTAGCGAAAATGTTTACTGAAAGAGTATTCTTCTTCTAATGGAGTGGACTATTAATCAGAAATCGACTAGACCCGAGTAAAAAGTGTGACCACTTCTTAACCATGAACTGACCAGAAATTCTGATTATTGGCTAGTTTCTGGTCAATTTAGATGACATCTGCTTTGGCAGTAACTGGGCAGTAAAATTAGTTAGTTCCTTTGATTAGTTTCTAATCAATTTCTGGCCAATTTCTAACCAAACTTTTTTTATATAATTGTTTTGACAAGTAGTTTTCATCGCTCAATATTACATTGTATGAAATATTATATTTTATTATTCAATATAAAAATACAATGTGAAACTCGTGTTTCAGGAGGTAGTATTTTAAAGTGCAAATTTCGTTTATTATTGAGATGGTTGTAGTTTTATTTTTAATTATCATTTTTTATTGCCTAGTTCTTGGCCAGTAATTGGCCAAGAAATGCTGATCAGTATTTTCTTGTCCAGTTGCTGTCTAAATCTTAGATAAAAGTTTGGCTGGGCGTGAGGTGTGTCGTTGCATTTGCTGTCCGCATTTCTCTCGGCGATTCGTAAACCAGTCCTGCAACAGAGAAAGGGGCCGGGGGCGCCGTGAAGTTACGGAACGATCTACGACGAGATACGACGAACGTAAAATAGAACTCGTCGGTGTTTTTGCGATAATATCGTCACGACAATTTGTCGATGACAATTTGTCCGAGGCGCTTCTTTTACGAGAAGAATTCCAAGATTCGCACAACGCGGTTTGAAAATCAATTAAACTCTCCCCCGATAGACATCGTTCGATATCTCGGCGAGCTTCCAACGAGCTATAAAAATCTATTATGGGAGGCCCGATGGAAGCCGTAGTCCCAAGGACCATCAGGGAGGAAAGCTGTCCCACTGTCTCAATTATATTCACTTACACATAATATAGTAGTCAAGTATAAATTTTAGCCAATAAAAACTGGTCAGTTTCTGGCTAGTGACCAGTTTTTCCTGGAAATGTTTCTACTTGAGTATTATTCTGTCTTTCTTTCAAAAGGAATATATTTATTTAAAGTAGAATGCCCTCTTCTTAAGAAATTTTTATTAAAAATAAGACTTATACTGTAGATAAGAGACGGAATTCCTTCAATTTGCAGAATATCGTACTTTGAATATTTCCCTTTTGGTTTTAGAAGAATTCTCTTGAGACCATATATGAGAGTGTGTGAAATCCTCTAGAAATTCTCTATATTTCAGAGGATTCCGCTAAAAGAGATGAGATTATATTTTCTTGGGTGTAGAAAAGTGTTTAAGGACACAAGAGTGAGGTTTTTATGACACGCGGATAAGTACAATTCGCGAAAGCTAAATTATTCCGTCGCGCCTCCTAAGCAACATTAAGTGTAACAAAACCCTAATCCTAAACAACGTTAAGTGTAACAAAATCTTACATCTGCGCAATGTGCAGATCTCTCTCCGTGACGTCTCAGGATGCGTTTGACTCGGGGAAGCTATAATTACTCGTCGTCGCAAGTCGTCGTCCCGCTTGTTTGTCTTACGCTTCTCTTCGTGCCGAGACGCGATAGGCGGATCCATACGTTTCGCAAAAGTCATCCTCCGCAAGGTGACGCGACGCGACGCGATGGGGTGCGGAAATCTGTCCGGGCACGTCATGCGCGCGGATATTGCGTATCAACGCGTGGCGAAACGAGCCCTCGCCGATCTCGGGCGAGGAAGACGGATCGACGTCGAGGTCAGCGCGACAGACAGAGAACGATCCCATTATAGCGCCGTGTTTGCACAACGACACCCCCTTCGGTAGCTATAGACGCAAGAGAGAGAGAGAGAGAGAGAGAGAGGGAGAGAGAGGAGACAGAGAGCAGACAGAGAAGAGACAGAGAGGGCTACCCCAAAAACCAACCAAACAGGCCGCGATGGCATCCGAAGACCCCCGGGGGCAACCAACCACCACTGACGGTTTCACGCCCGTCCACGAGGCCGAGGTGCAAATTGCGCCACCATCTGGTTTACATCCAGCGAGCGGAAAACCACCCTGCTAGCCGGGAGCGGGACGGGACCGCCAGGAGGAAAGGGGGAAGGGGGCGGCGCAGCTGCGTTGACACTATGTCTGTTATGACAAATATATTTTCTTATTTGTACTATTAATACGATCCCATCGTGGGGGAGGGGGGAAGTATACCTATCTACCGGGGAGGAACGTGTCATCGTCCGGCACGCACGATTGATGGAGGAAAGCAGCGTGTGTGTGAGAACCGCATGCGTGTTTGACAATCGCGAACGCGACGATCAGCGCCCGCGCGCGTTTGACGTTTGCCCGTTTGTTCTTCGTGCCCGACGTTGGAACGCCGTGACGCGCTTGCGGGTATTCAAGAGCGTGAAACATCTTATATACGTTTTTACTTGTTTTTTATTTATTCTTATAGCACATTCCTATTCTCATTGTACGTTGAAAAGAAGTTCTGTAATAGTTCTGTAATAGTTAACGAATGCATTTGGTTGGACGTTTCAGTATAAGATTTGACAATTAGTGTCAGATACGTAATAGTTACTACACAACTGTCTCTGATAATAATTACTAAATAATACTAAATAATGTTTAATGTATCAAAGAGTGTTTCGTCATTTCGTGTACTCACCACATGGTAAGTATTACTAAATATGGTTTTATTTTACAAATTATTTGGTGATATCACATAAATAGTTAATAGTTACCAAGCCTTAGTAACAGATGCAAAGCCTTGCTAAAATTATCTGTTAATGCTTACTGAATTATTGGATTATATTCACCTACACATTTAGTTGAGATTATTTCACCAAAGCATTTGGCAACTATTATCCAAAAGTTTGCTGGTTAATATCAAACCATTTTTCCAACGTAGCATATAAAATAATAGAGACGAACTACTCGGATATAGACAAGAATGGGAATATGCCGATTTCCCAAACTCACAAATAAGAATCGTTCGGATTCATAACCTTTAACTGACTATGCAATAGACAAGATAAAGAATCACACAAGAACTTTGCTTTATATTAATGCATGATACTGCATGATATTCGACTGCAACTTTCTACTTGGTATATATTTACATCGCGAATCTCTGGCCAATTCGACGAGACGACGGCATTCAAAGCACGTGACGATAAACGGTCCGAGAGTCCGGCGATAGTTTTATCCGCATAAAACCGTCGAGAGCAGCCGGTTTCCCTTTCCACCCGCGAGGGAATCGTTCGTCTTGCTTTTTTTCCCTGCCATCGACGAAACAACATTTTTCGTTTCAGCTCGTAAGTGACACACGGACGACAAGGCATTCAGAGAGAGAGAAAGAAAGAAAGAGAGAGAGAGAGAGAGAGAGAGAGAGAGAGAGAATCCACACGAAGCGCAGCGCAACGCGGCCTACGCAGCTGCGTGGTTCTCTTCGACGAGAGAAGTGCGCGTATAGAACTCTCGCGAGCGAGATAGAGCAGGGGGCTATAATCCAGGAACAAATCAACGATATGTTGTGCTTCGCACACCGCACTACCGCGTGTACCTCTATTCGCATCATACACGTACGCCTATCGGCTGTGTGTGTGTGTGTGTGCGTGCGTGCGTGCGCGTGTGTGTGTGTGTGTGTGTGTGTGTGTGTGTGTGTGTGTGTGTATGAGACCTTTGCCATCCTGGCCTCCCTTTTTCCTCCTCACTGGACCCCCTGCCTTTAAAACTTTCAGATAGTATCCCTTTCCTAGATATGATTCGTTCGCATAGTATAATTCGGAAATGCGCGGGCATATTGTCCAACTGCACATATGTGCAAATGTATATACTGAGAAAAAATATTTGTTTCTTTTAACTATAATCACACATAGAGAAATAATTACTATAAATTATGGTCAAGAAAACTATTTATTTGTTAAATTCTGCTATAAAATGTCAGTGACAATAATCTTATATGCATGTTAGCATTTCCATTTTCGTGTTAGGACAACCAAAAAATATGATCGGCACCAAAAATAACTATAATTTTAGTTAAATCAATTATTTTCTTCGTTCACTAGTAAATTCTACGTATACACGCAGAGAATTTTATAATTTTTTTTATAGAAACTCTTTTAAATTTTATCGTTTTCGATAATCCAGGAATAGACTGTCGGTAAAGTCTGTTTTACCAAGGAACATAATAAATTTCGCTAGAAACAACAGATTACTAAAAGCATAACAAGCGCTGCAACAGCACATTTTGGTTCCTAAAATATATGTATGATGTATGAGATGAAAGGATAGTGAATTACTACAGAATGTCAATCTATTTCTCGGCCACAAAATCCTATGATAATTTTTACTGTAAAATTCTCTCCGTGTCTCGTTTGTGTATTCCGCCATTTTGGTTCCTAAAATATATGTATGATGTATGAGATGAAAGGATAGTGAATTACTACAGAATGTCAATCTATTTCTCGGCCACAAAATCCTATGATAATTTTTACTGTAAAATTCTCTCCGTGTCTCGTTTGTGTATTCCGCCATTTTGGTTCCTAAAATATATGTATGATGTATGAGATGAAAGGATAGTGAATTACTACAGAATGTCAATCTATTTCTCGGCCACAAAATCCTATGATAATTTTTACTGTAAAATTCTCTCCGTGTCTCGTTTGTGTATTCCGCCATTTTGGTTCCTAAAATATATGTATGATGTATGAGATGAAAGGATAGTGAATTACTACAGAATGTCAATCTATTTCTCGGCCACAAAATCCTATGATAATTTTTACTGTAAAATTCTCTCCGTGTCTCGTTTGTGTATTCCGCCACTATGCGCAAATGTGCATACAACTGTCCAGGACAGCAGCGTACACGCGCTTCGTATATGATCACAGCTATATACGTATGTATGTATGTATGTGCATCCCCCGTGCGGTGCACCCTTTTGCAGTTGCGCCGCCATTCAGGGCGGCTTAACTTCGCGCGGAAACTCCGCGCCCCGACGCTGCATTTCCTCGCTTTTGTCCTATATATTTCACGATTCCCACGAGACGCGTTCGTTACGATACCCGCGCGAATTACCTGCGCGAATCGCCGGTGAGCCGAGCGCGTTTTCAGCAGAGTGAAGGGGTAGATAAGCGAGATCAGACGCGAGATCTGCCGTCGCGATCACGAGCATATCGCGAATAAACGTTCGATTCCCTGGAGCCGAAGTGATCTCGCTTCTTTTTTGCTTCCTGTATGCCTCTGGACACGTCGCGCGATCGACTTAGTGTCGCATATCGCGCGTCAACGATGAACCGCGTTGGATTGAAACTCGGAATTCAAGGCACGAGCTCGAAAGCCCCACGAGAGTCGCGATCGTGACTTGGTAGCGTCCCGCCGCGAAATAAAGATGTCACGGGGACCGCAATAAAAGCGTCAACGAGCTCGTCGGCACATCTATCAATGTACGAGCCCCGGGCTGGGACAATGGCGAAATGGAACGACGTAGGGCGCGAACGCCGCGTTGTGTAAATACCTTAAATCTCGCGGGCGATTGCTGGAGCACGAAGTATACTCTGCTCTCTATCCCTCTTTCTCGTTCTCTTATTCACTTTTCGTTCTTTCTCTCTCCTCTCTTCCTCCTTTCTTCGCTCCCATTTTCGCCGTGTATCGAGACGTTTGCATCGTACAATTGTCCCGCAAAGGATATACTCTCTAAGGTACAATCAGTGCATTCTTCACTAAAATGCTATACTTATAACTGATTCAATTACAAGTATAGCTTTGCAATCAGTAAAATTTCGTTGAAGGGTCAGTTAATAGCAGCAACTATTGTCATTATCAATGCACAATGCGAACACAGACAGTGTCATTGCACGTAAGGCTCATAGAAGTCGTTAATTCCATCGCTACAAACGCAGAAAAGTACATACTGCATTCGAGTAAGTGTTACTGGTTTCCATTCATAAATTTACATATCCGCAAATCTGTCATATGCTCATCATAAGTATCAAATTTCTTCAAAATTCACATTTTTAAGATTAACGTTTAAATCAACAATACTAAATTACAATAAAAATTCGATTTGTTTACTGCCATAAAATCAAACCAAGTTCTTCTTTGATAAAATTTTTAAAATATTCTTTTAAAAAGAATAAATTCTTCTTTTGAGTACATGATAATGAACTTTTCTCGAATTAACGATGAGTGTATTTAACAATTTTTTGAAAATTAGTAAATACTCATTAATTATCAGTGAAATAGTTTCTTTGCTGATTCAATCAGAGAATTTTGCTGATTCTATTCAATGCTCGTGATAATAGTCGTTATTTGAAACTTGTCCTACATGAGATACTCGGATTTGATTTTAGAGTTAGATTTAAGTTTTTTACTTGAATCATATAATATTATTTTATGTTATAATATTTGTAATCGCAATTCAGCTAAAAAACTCACGTCTAACTCTAAATTCAAACCTGAGTATCTCATTTAAAATATGTTCAAATAACGACTATTAATGTGATCCTAAGAGAGCAATGAGACTCAGAGTTAATACGCGAAAACGAGCTTGCCGGCGACCTTGTATTCGCCAAAAAGTTCATAGGACCTGTTTGTAGTCCACCTTTGTTGTCATTATTCGTCGAAAGCGATTATTCGTGAGGAATAAAGTCCGTGGGGTTAGGGAGAGAGAGGAGAAGGGAGGAGGAGACGCGAGGTAATTACCTGGACTCGTGATTCCGGCAAGTTGATCTTGAGAGCAACCTCCTCTCGCATAAAGATGTCCGGGTACCTCGTTTTCGAGAACAGTCCCTCCAGCACGTCCAGCTGAGATCTGGTGAAGGTAGTCCTCTCGCGACGCTGCTTGCGTTGATTCATTCCTGCGACATGAGAAAAAGGAAGCGCTCGATGTTAATTATCGCGTCTCTTAAATCTCGCCGGGCTTTCGTTTCGACGCGTATCCGATCTACGGTTACGAGCGCTCGTAAAGTCGCCTTGCGGCGCTCAAGAAAGCAGCTGATACAGAAATTCGCCAGTAGCCCTATTCTGTAACTCGTTATTGGAGTTAACGACAGTTTCGTTATCGTTGCGCAGCTTTTGTATAGCGTAGAAAAGCTGCGCAACGATAACGAAACTGTCGTTAACTCCAATAACGAGTTACAGAATCCCAGTACAGGCACGTTTGCGCGCAACCGTCGTCGGTGGCGGTGAGTCGATCTCGGTTCATTAAACCGCTCGATAGTTACACGTAGTAGCTGTGCAAGGTAGGAGCCGAGGGTTTTACACCTCTGCACAAAACGCGACAATCGGTGTCGGTGTGATATACAAGAGACCCTAAAAACGCAAATAACGCGCGCAATCGCGAAGTGTTTCTCGCTCAATCGGCGCGGCGACGTGCAACGACCTCGCAAATGTAATGCAGAACGGCATAAACGAGGCGACTAGAAGACAGGAAATCAAGTACTTATCGAGAACGTTTAACTTCTTCGAAGTACGCTCCAGTCTTCTCTTCAACGTGCGCCATAAAGCCGCTATTGGATGAGGTAAAAACGAGGAGCGAAACCGTCGGAGGAACGGAGTAGAAGACATCGATATCGCCCCAATACGTTCAGCAATAGCATGGAACGGTCGTCGATGACGATGTCTTCTTCTTCTTCTCCTTCAAATATGGAGCGCCTTCGCTCGCGTCGATGTCTTCCACGAAGAAGACGGGGGGGGTTGCCGTGTACGAGACGGGCGGGGGGCCGCAAAGGGGGATCTCGTTGCTTTCTCCCTCTCTCTCTCTCTCTATCTCTCGACAAACGTGGAGGAGGGGTGTGGAGCGTTGCGAGGCCGCGATAGCGTAATTTTGAACAGCTCCCCTCTGCCCCCATCGGCCCACCCCACGCTTTCTACCTTCCTCGTGCCATCGAGCCTCGCTTGGCTCGTTTCGGGACCCACGTAATCCGCTTATGAGGGGGTCACAGGGGTGCCGTGAGGCAGCACGGGGGAGGGAGGACGGGAGGCAGGGAGTACACCCCGGAATACACGAGCATCCAGAGGACCGAAGTCGCGGTTCGCTTCCAGCTGCCGCTGGAAACGACGACGACGACGCCGGGATCTCTCTCTCTCTCTCTCTCTCTCTCTCTCTCTCTCTCTCTCTCTTGCTCTCTGCGGGCGCACCGATCGAATGAGCGCGTATATACGACCTGTGTGTCCTCGTCGCGAACCAATAAAAAGGAGCGCTTGGAAAACTGCGCCTCGCCAGTGTCTCCGGGTTGGAAGCCGGATCGTAAAGTCGAAGGCGGAATGGTGGAGTCCATGACCGGCTCCGGGGGGGAATCGCCGATGACGGGTCGCTCTCTCGGTCGCGGGAGTATTTTACGTGCCGAATTTTCGTGCTATCTTTTGGCGAAGAACTCGCGATGTTAATAAGGAGTTGGGGAAGGAAGAAGGAGAGGGAAGAATGGAGATCCCCGGAATATACTCGATCGGATGTGGTCTAATCTTCTCATGAGCCTCCTCTGGCCGCGGTGAGCTTTTCGCGCGAGTCTCTTATCCGACTTTACGGCCGCGATGATCAACGACGTGTGCGAGTTGGGTAATCGAGAAAACAGGGTCATTCGCGGGGAGATCGGTGGCGAAGCCTTTCTACGCGAAGTGTACGGCTGCGATCGCGACGGTTTAAGACTCGGCTGGCACGCGAGGCGACTGTTTACCGGACGATCGATGCTCTCTCTCTCTCTCTCTCTCTCTTTCTTCTCCTTTCCTCTTTTCCATACTTGAGAGGCCTGCTGGACACGACGAGCAAAAAGAATCACGGGGCATTGTAACATGAAAGGGAGAAAGTTCACGTCAGTAGCGAAAAAACAAAATTAAGTAAAATGACTTAAGCCGAGGGAAAACTTAGGTGTCACGAACGATGAGATAAGCGTACCGTAAAAAAGAGAGTCAAAGACGATCGATTGTTATTTATTTCCATGTATTTCGTGGGCGTTTTGAACGTATGTTTTCTTGCTCTTCTAACGTTATCAATCGAGAATTCCGCGACGAGCGGAAGCCAGGAGCCTTGATCGACTTGGGGCTTGAACGAATACGCTATCCGAGATATGAACGACAGTTGAGTATTCTCAATGGATGCAACGACAAAAGCAAAGCGAGCGAAACGCCGAAGGAAGGAGCGGTCCAGAAGGAGGAAACGGTGGCGTCGTATCGCTCGCATCTCTCACCCGGACGCTCTTCTCGGGTTCGAGGAGGGCCCGGGGGATGACGACGATGACGACGAACGACGACGATACCTGCGTGATTGGCTAACGAACTGGTCGAGTGGGCTACCAGCATGGCACCGCGGTAGATCCACGGAGTAGATTGCGTCGAGCTCACAATGTACAAACGCCACGGTGGTCGGAATTACCGCCATCGCTTCGTGACGGGCGCGACACACCCGCGATCGTCGGATCTACGATACGTATCTCGGCCGCCTCCGCTTCTCGCACGGATCCATTGATTACCCGGCCCGTACAAAAATCCTCGGGGTGAAACAATCGCCACAGTTCTCGGGATAATCTCGTCTAATCGTCTCGGCGGGCGGAGGGGGAGCTATTATCTTCGCGTGTGATACGTGAATCTTCTACCTCCACGTACGCGCACACGTGGTGCGAACGACACTTGTCGTATAATTGGGAAATAGATGCGACCGCGAATTTTCAACAATGAACAAATCTCATTCGACGGGGGTCTTTTTCCTGATTGGAAGACGCCGTCGCGGCGACGGAAGCGGCTCTAAAAAGACGCTCTGATTGTCGAGTGGGCATCGGTGCTACCGTTAACGATGGCTTTTGCCATCAGCTCAACAAAAACCAGGCACTTCGCCGCAGTTAAGACAATAGCTTTCCGATTATGATGACTTTCCATTCGCTTCCACGTGCTCGTGGTGCGTTTCAAGCAACGTTCGAAAATTTGCAACGCGATGTAATCAAAGGATTTTAACTGCCATTGAACTAAACTATAAAACACCTAATCATTGACATCTCCTTAATTATTGACATTTTTTTTAAATTTGATTTTTTTGAAGACTATCGTGACAGTTTAATCTCTTTCCTGCACTGCATGATTTCAAAAGAGAGGTTCACATTTAAACTTTGAACAATTGCTGCTAGTCGCAAGAAGAACCACTTTAGACAGCACAGACTACTAAAAGATGTCTTAAAAACGTGTACAATAAATAGAAAGTCTTTTAGATATTGTTATGAGATCTTTTAATACATTGAGAGAAAAAAATTCGTAAAGAATATTCGTAATCGTATTTGTAATTGTAATCGTGAAGAAATTGTAGTCATAAGAACCATTTTTCTAATAAGTGTTATTACAGCGCCAGTGATAATATACATACACATATTGATACCACTATTTTTCTGTTAGAAAAAGATTGGTTGATGCCAGAAATGATTATAATTTAGAAAGATTTATCACCTATTTCTTGCATCTCTGCTATCTGCTCTTTAAAGTACAATCAGTATTCTTTATTGAAATGGTTCATTGGAACTGATGGTTCAGTCATAAGTATAGCACCGCAATCAATAAAATCTCGTTAAAGGGATCAATCATAATAATTATTCTCATTATTCACGTATTTTGTGAACATACGGACAATGTCATTGTACACAAGACACATGCGTTAATTCCATCGTCAAGCACAGAAAGTTGGGTTTTATATAACGTGTAATTAATTTATATATTATAGATCTCGCAGTGAAATCTTACTTTCATTGGTCAAAATCAGCAAGAAATAAGCCTTCGGCTTATTATGAAATAGGTCTTTTATCGATTTAATCAGAAACATTTTCATTGATTCACTTTAAGAGAGTGGGAGATTGTGAATTGAAGAGTCTAGAGCCAGTCACTAAAAGGGACCAATAATTTTGCGCCGATAATTGGGTTTGCAATAGTTCAAAAAATCGCAAAAATTACAACTAATTTTTTAAAGTCACTTGCACTTATTACACTGTAAAAAATGCGAAAGAACATGTTGCGCGCGCCTTCCAGAGTCGACTAAAATGCGCGAGCGGGAAACGTTCTTGACGAGCGTATCACGCTTCGAGGAGAGACAGTCGTCGGGTAAGCGACCCTAATGGGTCGGCAAACACCCGCTGGCTCCCGGAGTATGATTCGATTTATTATCGTCGGCGTGAGAGACGCGATACCGGGAGGGTTGATATAAGGGTTGCTTCGCCTCATTGGCCCGCAACCAGATCAGACGCGACCCTAATAGCAAATTCGTTTTCCGTTTATTGGATTCTTCCGCGCGTTTCGCCGGGAAGATCCGCGTAAGTCAATGGGCCGCTAACAGAATTTCACGCCGATCTCTCTCTCGTGCACGATCCGACGGTGCAATCCATCAGTCGGTCGGTCCCTGCGCGCGCGCACGTAAACGACTTCGAAAGTCACCGGGTGAGACTTTCTCTCGTTGCAATCACCGGGACCGGAAGTATCCGCCATGTTGATCTCGTTAACTCCTCACCCCATGACCCCAGTAGAGATCGTATCTTATCGGTAACCATGAAATAGTACATGTTTTCTGTTAGAAACAGATTTGTTGACGCCAGAAATGACTATGATTTTAGAAAGATAAATCACATATCTCTTCCATCGTACTAACTGCTTTTTAAAATACAATCAGTATATTCTTTTTTGATATGGGATTTCAAAAAAGGAAAATTTCAATGGAAGTAAATTTGTACCTAACATCGCTACTAATCAGTAAGATAACGCTCATTTCTTCTAGATAAGTAAGTTAGCTAAAACTTAAAGAAACAAAATTACAGTGTTATGAGATGAAAAATCATAAGTAGTTACCAGCCAGTGATGTAACGGTCAATTCTGCTATTTTAAAACTTTTATA